GATACAAATCATGTGGGCAGTTTTGAGGAACTAACGTTAGAAGGGCATCCAGTTTGGGTAATAAGGAAGGAAATTTAATAATACCGGAATTAAGGGAAAATAAGGAGTTAGGATGTACAGGTTTGGTTATGTCACACCCACTGTCGCCATGGACGTGGGTAGTGTGCCGCAGTGAAACAACTGGGCTCTGTTGTAGCTCCAGTGAATGAAATGCTAGAACAAATGGATCATCATTGGATTTTACATGGTCGTATGTGGAAGCCCTATTGGTGCGGGAGGGCGCTGGTCTAAAAAGGGTCGTTTGGAAAGAGATGAGACTGATCTGTAGGAGGAAGTATTGGTGCAGAGTAGGTTAGAAACTGAGGTTGCGATTGGGTAGTGTAGGTATGAAGTCGTATGTCCCCATACGTATCTTCAGATCTGTCAGAAAATGTTTCGTTAGTCGAGTTAAGATATTGCCATTTCCGGGTCGGAGAGGTCGGTAGCAAAAATTTTGTGATGGTGGGTAGTAGGTCGCCTGGTTACTATTGACCTTAGAATCGATTCCAATATTATGTCCTGAAGTACGACAACGTATAGTTTTCCGCAGCTGATTTAATGAGCGTTAGAAGGTCATGGTATTGTGTTGTGAGTTCCTTTGTCCATCCCCCTCCTGCTTAGCCTCCCTCTCCAATCACGATCTCATTCGGTAGGCATAATATAACCCTCTTTTTGCGGCACGATAGCCGGTTGTTAGCTCTCCGGAACGATGTCCATCCTTTATTGGGGAATCAGCCGGTGTGCCTCTGTTGTTTTTTCATATTGCCTTTTGTATTGTAGCACAATAGCTGCAGCTAATGTGTATAATGATGATGATGATGATGATAATGAGCGTTGTTCATATCCTGATGGACGTTGTTTGAGTGTTAGCAGTTGTTGGGCAATTCCATGGAGCATTCTAGGATAACGGTGCTGTGCGATGCAATCTATTCCTATTTGGGACCGGAGATAGTTGTTGCTAGATAAAGTAGGGGTAGTTCATTCAAATTCCCAATATTCTTGGTTTCACACTTTGCATTTTGGTTCTTAATTGGTGCCAAATAATTTACAGGGTCGTTGCTTGTGGAAGGAGCACATGAGATGGCAAGAACTCCTGCATGGTTTGTAATAGTACGTACATTGTGCCTGTGCTCCAGTCTCCTCTGGTCAGACCTGGTCAGCATTACCGTGCAATAATACATCGTGAGTGGTTTGGTGGACTCGGTGCTGAATCTGAATACTGTATTATAGAGCAAGTAGAAACGAAATCTGTACAACTCTTTCGAAATATGGTGAAAAAAGTTATAAGAATTGTTAGCCGTGAATATCGTTATCGTTCTCACGTAACATTTAAAATATCTGACTCACGGTATTGCAGAACTCACAAATGTGACATGTCATCGTAAGTGTGCAATCGTTCTTTGAATCGAATAGTGGTAAAATATAAATCTAACAACGTTTTGAACTGCTGCACAGATGTGGCCTCCATCACATGTTCAGGCAAACTGTTCCAAATATTTACCACTCTCCGCTCGAAACACAGTAGGTGGGGAACACGCTTCACATTTGGTACGACAAGTTGTATCTGGGTCCGCGTGTGCTGCATGGCCCTCGTAAGTGCAGCATTGCCCTCAGCATGGGGAAGTCACCGAGATGTAGACTACGGTAGGGCATAATGAGGTCGACTCGCACCCGACGGTAAGACAAGGTGTAGAGTCCTAGTTTCTCGCACCGGTCTTCATACCCCAAGCCCAGAAATTCGGGATGAGCCTGGTAGCAACGTGTTGCACCCGTCCGATCTTCTGAGCCTCGCCTCGGGTAATCGGAAAATAGGCGGGCGAACCGTTCTCTAGCATTGGTCTAATGATGGAAGAGAAGAGGGGAGTGACAACCTCTTCAGACCATGTACCAAGGCTACGTTTGAGCGCCCAAAGCATGAGCAGTCCATTACGATATAACCTGTTAGTGTTGTCCACGGACTTCAAATCGTAGCGCGAGAGTACACCTAGGTCCTTCATGGAGAGTGTGGGATATAGCGGTTGGCCGTCAAGGGTGTATGTTCGGTCGTCAGCACCCTTCCCCAGGCTCATAAATACAGACTTGGCTGGGTTGACCGGGAGATGAACTTCTGCAGACCATGTGGATAGGCGGTTGAGATCTTGCTGTAGTAGGCCACAGACAGCGGAAACGTCAATTTCTCTCCAAATCTTCATGTCGTCCGCAAACAAGGCACACGGCGACTGGAGAAGTTGAGGTAGATCGTTGATGTGGATCAGGAACAGAGTGGGCCCCAGCCAAGTGCCTTGAGGCACGCCAATTGTAGTGGGATACCGGTCAGTTAGATGGTCGTCGACATGTACTCTCCACTTTCGTTCAACAAGAAGGTCGCGGATCCACCGGTGCAGTGAGCCACCGACACTGCACATCCTGAGTTTGTGAAGGGGAACCTCATGGCTGACGTTGTCGAACGCTTTACTGGAATCGATGAATATCACGTCGACAGACTTCCCCTTACTTACTGCCTTCAACCACTCATGCCTCGTCACAAGCAAGCTTGCAATGCATGAGCGGCTTTGCATAAAACCGTGCTGTGCGGGTGTCAGGACCATTTTTGACTGTAGCAACTGCAGCAAATCTCCTCTTCACAATTTTCCCAGCAACCTTTGCCAAATTGGGTGTCAGACAAATTGGCCTGTAGTTGTTTACTTTGCTAGGGTTGTCGTCTTTCGGAATAGGCTTAACCACCGAACATTTCCAATCAATCGGCAAAGAACCTTCGAACAGCGACCTGTTGAAAAGATCAATTACGACTGGAGAGATGATGGTCGAAAGTGACTTGAGAATCAGTGGATGAGTATCATTAAATAAGGGCAGTGTTCGTGATCTGTCAAGGTCCACATCGTTTCCAGTATGATTGGCGTCGGTGGGAGAAATACGAGCGTCTGAATGATTCGTCTTAGGTGTAAACCGCCTTTGTAGTGGCGTTTGATCACTTCTGATCAAAATGTTCTTCAAGTCAGTTCGTGCTGCAATGAGCTGTTTGTTATGTAGTGTTCCGCCATTGCTTCATCCAGGAACTTAAGGAGGATGGGACAAGATCTCATTGTCGCATCATTCTGGAGCCTAAGACATAGACAGAACAACTCATGTTGCATGCCACGAGCAACATATTTTTGACTTTATCTACACTCACGCTGTCAGGTGTATTAAACATAAGCAGGTTTTTTGATTTGTGTAAGCGTTCCTGAGTCACAGTTGTGATTAGGGATAGAACAGAACCAGCCTTGTGTAGTGTGTCTAATTTCATATACTTTAAGTCATTAAGTAATTTACAGAAAGCCCAGACTTGATCGTATTTTGCGCCAAAGCGCAGCAGTTCGATTGTTAGTGGTCACTTCTTCTTCAAGAGCAGTGATGCGGTTTTGCATTTCAGGTAGTAAATCAATTCTATTGTCAGAGCAAACAGCTAATGATTACTGATTTTCGTCGTTTTAGCTGAGGCATTTCTCGTTTTGGTGGCATTATCGCTGCAGACTGCCACTGGTTTCGTTGGTTCCTCGTCCTAGCTATGACATTTCGCACTTTAGTAGAGCTAACAGGCATTTCTGTGCTAGCAGCTAAAACTGATTGCAAATCAAGTTATATCGTCAACAATTGTACACAGTATAGAATTGAACGGCTTCCATACGTAGACAGTCCTAAAGGGCACATCGATCTACCGGCCAGAACGCACCTTTGATGCCGATGAACAAAACTACGATGGGTCTCTAATAAATATGGCGGTGCTCCAACAATTGACATAATGTGAAGATGTGATCAATGCAGCCGCAACTTCGGCGGCAAACAGGCACCGTAAGTCCGCGCGCGACAACGGAGCTTTGAACGAGCTAGCCAATCTAACGGCGCACATCCGGCTGTTGATTCGGATCCGATCGATCAGGGCAGTTTCAGCCCAAGGGAATCAAAGCAATGCCTACACCGGCTTGAGCGGCAGTTGAAGCTGCGTCATGTCCAGAAAAACGCAATGACAAAGTACCGCCAGTTTCGCACATAGGAGATCGCAGGGTAAACACAGAGTTCGAAGCTTGCAGGAGCTTCCGACAAATAGCAGATATCAGTTGATAGAGTCTCGTGTTCGGGCAAGTGCTGCCTGTTAGCTAATCTGTAACAAAGTGGGCACGTTGAGGTATGCCAATCTTAGTGAGGATCGAGAGCTCGAAATAGAAACGGATGTATTGATGTTATTCGCTTGGTTAAACATAGACTTGTCGACTGGACCGGAGCGACGCCCGGCGATTGCGTGTGAGTTAGAAGAAGAATTAGAAGAAGGAGGGCCGAGAATTGGGGTTTGAAAACATGGGGGATAAAAGTGAATTTGGAGTGGGACGATAAGGGTGAGAAAGAGCAAGAGGAGAAAAAGAAGACGAAGAGGTCGGTGTAGTTGTATCCCCATCCCTACCCATCCTGGTCAATGCAGCAGGTATGGCGCCGTTGATTATTCTCTGACGGCCAGAGCATAAAGAAACTGTTTGAAGGGAAATTCGTTGTACAGTGTGAGTAGGATACTATCAGGTTGTCCAGGCCCAGAGAGGAGAACAATTGAGGTTTTCAACCAAAGCCTTTGGTTCAAAAATTTGACCGCAAGGCAGCGGTGTTTTGGCACTGGGTTACGGGGATTCCGTTTTATGGAGTAAGGAGCCATCATCAATTCAATAACCAAACTAGAGGGCCAGCAGACTGAGGTTGTCTGGCCTCTAACCACTGGAATGATTAGTTCTGAAGCTGCAAAAAGCATCACCCAGCATAGCTCAATGGACGGTTGAGGCACGCAAATCATAGCCGCGATGGATTCTGTAGAAATAAAATTTTGTGGTAAGTGTTTGTGGTTTCATCACGAATTGAGGAGTGGGAGTTCAACTGATAATGAACTAAATGGATCAGACAGTATCAAAATCAATTTGTGTGAAAAAACAGTTACGTACTTTGCAAGTAAAATAATCTGCCTTCACATTGGTGCCCACCCCTGCGGATTTGACGTCTTGAATTAGATGCCAACCCCCGAGGGGGCCACCGGTGGCAGAACCAATGTCCATGCCACCAACGGAGCCGACAAGTTCATTTTTGTATGTCTCGAAGTTGGCTGCATGACCTTCATGCTCGTACCACCCTTTTAAACGAAGTGCCTCGGCAATATTCGTGGGAGCAACCATAACGGTTGACGTAGTGGCGACTGACAGGGAACGACCTGTAACAAAGATTATCGTGAGAAAGGGATAATGAGGCAAAGTAAGCAACGAAAAGATGCAAAGCAGTGTAAGCGTGTGCAAAACTCACCGTTGAAGTCGGAAACCTTGGCTCCCTTAATGACAACAGCAGGATGTAACGAACCGTCGAAAGTCTCAGCTTGCTCACCCCACAAAGTTAAACGGACCAGGCATTTCGAAGCATCCACTAAACCAAGCTCCCGTTTGCGCAACTCACGTTGGGAAGCTTTGGCCATTATAGTTTGAACTTCGCCAGCTTCGTGAACAATGCCTACAATGTCTGCACTCGGAGACAGGGTAAAAAGAAGAACGCGAGAACCGCACCGTTACAATAGTGAGATTCGAGGAGGAATGAAATTGTGAGAAAGCAACGGCGTGAAGTTGGAAAGGAGCATGCTCAAAGCGAATGGTAGGAGAGATTAATGCCAACAAGCCCAGAATAAACAGCAAAAACGTAGAATTAGTTGTATGATGAGTGTAACATGGAACAGCTGCAACTACAAAGTGCTGAGGAGCTGTTCGGCTCTTTAGGCACGACTGACTATAACATGATGTAGCTAAGCGAGAAAAAGTATGGAGTGACAACGAATCACCTGACTTAAGTGTGGTGCCCAATCGAAACAGGGTGAACTGAAGATGCAAATGGTTGACGTTTATGCCTTCTTTTTCTGGTGCTGACCTCAATCTACAAACGTTTTGGGAGATGGCAAGAGAGTTCCCGATGAGGCTGTTATATGAGGAAGTGTCTTAGAAGAGCGATAAAATTAGATTCCATTGTTGGCCGCTTGTCCAGACCCGGTCGCCAGATTTCAAGAATCTGTGGGTGTGTGTTTGAAGTGTGAAATAAAAACCTCTATCTCACGGAGACCAAGAACTCAGTCATGTGCCTAAATGACCACAGGTAACTATGACCTAGCCAAAGCAAGGCATAAAAAACGCCAAGTATGAATAGAATGATAGCGATGGGACAGTGACGATCATGGGAAGTGGCAGATGTGAACTGGCTCAATATCAGTAAATCGCGCATGTTCCTACAGACGCTGTGCATGTTGTAGCCTTAAGCCCACATCACGGGTTTTCATGTTAAAATGGAAGCCATCTTAAGATCGAACATGCAGAAACGGTCAAACGGCCGGGAAATTGTTCGAAAATTCGGTGCGAGTTAACGCATCAGACGTAGAGCTGCAGGTATCGCCCCTTGCTCTAACGTGTGATGGCATCTAATAAAACTGAGTCTGCATTGTTGCAGAGAAAAACGATGTTCCAACACAATTGAAGAGTACATAAGACGAGTGTGTGACATGTAAACAGTTCAACTTTCATCACATGAGGTCAGTTAGAACAGAGCATACCTAAGAAGCAAGATGAAAAATCTAAAGTGAGAAAATACACATTTGGAAAGGCGGACACAAGAGTAAAAGCGACGGAATGGATTTGCATTCCCACCGAAAGGCTGACGAGTTCAAAAAAGGGCATTAGATACGGATAAACAGGAACTTAAAAGAAGCAAGCATAGACTCACCCACGTAGGATCCCGGCTCACACCCATCTAACTTTCCTATCGGAACAAAGGTGAAATGGGTTTCAGGTAGAGTGCTTATGTCCTCGTCTTCGCAAGGTGTGATTAAAGAGTCCGCATGAAGTGTCATTTCATATTCGTTATTGGTGGTGTTGAACTGTTTGTTGGCCGCCTTGAGATTGGCGCGCGTGATGTAGTACGCTTTGTTAACCTAGTTGGGAATGTAGATATCAAACAGACCGGGGCAAATAAAGAAGCGGTAGTGGATAAGACAGCTTTGTGGAGGCTATGGTAGTCATAGGATAGAGAAAGGAATGGAAAAACAAAAACTGTACGAGTACTTTTCGAGCAGTTAGATGAAGTTGTTGTGAGGGATGACTAATGAATTAGCAGTTCTATCGGCATAAATAAGCGAAATACCCGAGAAACTCACAAAAGAGTACCAATCCATCATCCACAACACGTTAGCTATCGTGAGAAAACCAAAAAGAAGATCACATTGCGAAAGTACGCAGGCAAACGAGTTGTTCGCCCCTTAACCTATGTGTAATAGTAGTATGCTTTTAATAGCTTGGGAAAAAATTGGAACCGACAGAGGATACCTAAGTTCGGAAAGTTTTAAAATACGAATCGGTTTTGTAAAGGCTTGGGTGTCTGGTTATAAAACAAATAACTCGCGAGCAAAGGCTACAATTAAAAGTAATTTAGGCGAATCATGCACTCCAAGGGGAATGATGGTAAAATGGGTATAGGACATGATGACTGTTGTCCCAATAGGTAACACACTGGACCATGTATACGAAAGTAGGCATTGAGAAGTCCGAAGCGTCGAGTTCCTAAGATCGATAGTGACGTAAAATGCAAGGCTCTAACATGAAATGAATGAAGCCGAGGAGGATGTCGGCAGGTTAGGTCAGGTAAGGACAATGCTGATAAACTGACGTAATAACCAGAGGACGAATGGCGTAGAGCGAGTTGGAAAGCTGACTGGACCCAAACATGCATTGTAAAACAGCGAGTTTATGCGCATAAGCAGATTTTTCGCCATGCAGTATTGCTCGAACTTGAAACGTTCGAGTAACTCGATTCCCAACTTACGAGGTATGCCATACGAAGACCGATGTAAGAAACTAGGGTTATACACCCTATCTTATCGTCGGCTGAGGGTTGACCTCACCATGACGCACCGGATATTACATCTGGGTGATTACCCCATGTTGAGACAACTACTTCATCTGCGCACACCAAGCTGCACGCGAGGACACCGGTATAAACTTATCGTCCAGGATTTGAAGCGGGTCGCCCATCAACTCTGTTTCAAACGCAGAGTGGTGAATGTCTGGAACGACCTGCCTCAGCATATAGTAGAAGCCAACACAGTGTCTCAATTCAAGATGCTACTAGACCAACAATTTGCAGAGGCAAAGTACAGAGAGCGAAATGATAAATAAAGACGAAGACGACGAACGATGCAGCTACACAGAGCAACCTCTACTCGCTGCTTCGCACCAGTTCTCAGTTCTCACTGAGCTATTACGATGAACACTAATATCATGAGTGTTTATAGGTGGAAGCTAAACGACAGAGAGATGCACGAATGCCGAACTACCACCTCGTGATGCCAGCTGGATGGTTCGGGATTATCCTGTTAAAGCAAAATGTCCGGCGGCAGTGTCCCAAGAGGTGGTGGGTTTTCGCCTGGCAAGCGTTCTCCTGATAAAAAGCCACATATGTCCGTTTAACAACACTGCGACGTGGTGGATGTGACGCGCCACTAAATAAAGTACCCAACGTTTGCTTCACTTCGTCGGAGCATTGTAATCTCCTAGTGGAACGCGGAATTCCTGGGAATATTGGGCCCCAATTTGACAGCCCGCCAAACGAAAGGCGTATGAACCGAGCGACTGATCGCCGGCTCCCAACTGGCGCAAATCCCTGAACTGCACCTTGCGAGTGAGGTCCCTATGACCGAAGGTCCCGCGTGAGCCACCTAAGCAACCGGGAAGCTGCATGCCCACATAACACATGAAATGATGGATATACAACTCGCTACTCATGGCACTCGCTCTCTGGAGTCTCTCCTTTCGGCCGAGGCGCTGGTGGCCGGGAATGATAAACTTCACTCTACCGCACGGCAAATGACCATTTTAGCTGACTTTATGCGACCTTTCTGTTTGATGTAACTCCCCTCCTTTTTGATTCTCCAAAAAACGCACTGCAACAAAAGATATTTCTAGTCGCATCAACGAGCCGTTCAAGACCGATCGCACGCAACCCAGTTTCGACGGCGAGGCTTTTATTGCACCCCGTTCGCTATTCAAGCTAGCTATGTTTAATGATCAAACGGTTATGCAGGTTGGATCACATACTGCTCTTGCGAGCATCGTAGAACCTTTCTCCATCAAAGTCTGCTGGCTAATCGAAACCCGTTTACATAACTCTAGCACAACGCTGTAATTACCGCCTACATCTCCAAGTTCAGGTTGCACATTCACCTAGCGCTTATCTGGAAAAGCGACAACTGTAGCCTCTGGCTAAATCGGTGTAAAAGTTGCGTTAGGCGCGAGTGCTGAGTCAGCGCTCAATGTCTGGTTTCCATTCAACAGTCGTCTCTGGGTGATCAGCTAAGAAAGTTCAGTTCGATCTAGCCATGGGACCGGTAGGCGCTGCTTATTCGTTGTACTGGTGTACGCACACCAGGAACGGCAGTCCTGATACAACTAAAGATGAATTCTACTGTCAACTCACCGAGCTGCTCGGACATCGTGGTACTCGCCGGAGACCTGAATGCACGGGTCGGTAAACTAGAGGTCCATGAACGCGAACTTGGTGGTCAGCACAGCCACAGTATTCTCAGGAGAGACAATAGCGCTCGCCTCCTTCAACTGTGCAACGACCAAGGCTTGTTCCCTTCGGGCACCAACTGGCATAGTTCCTGGAGCCGTCTCGTACCTGGCGATCTCCGGCGAATGGTCAACTGTGGATTCAGATTGACCACATCACTATCAGTTACCGTTGGCGAAGTTGCATAACGGATTGCAAGATAATTCGGAACACTTAGTTGATTTCGGATCATGCGCTAGTGTGTGTTGCGCTCCTTCTGCACTTTGGAGGCACCCAACAACATCACCGGAAACAACTTGACACAGAAAAGTTCGCCAGCCCAAATGTTCTCGGCACATTTCAGAACACATTAACCTCTAACCTGTGTCCTCCCTCCTCTTACGTTGAGACACACTGGGCACAGATTCAGAGCACCTTACGAAAGGCTGCTACCCTGGTTCGTGGTTTCATCAAACAAGCTGCTTGCCATTGGATCTCCAGAGTCTCTGCATTTAATGGAAACCCGTAGAGCAATTCCCGATAGAATTGAGTACAACGCACTCCGTAAAACCACAGGCGCTGAGCACAAACAGATCCTCGGGAAGCATCGCGAGCTCTGATGGAGACAACGCGTAGTTAAGATGGAGAGAGTAGCCACCTGATGAAACTCTCGTAAAAACTTCCAGCTGATTCAGTCCACTGGAGATGAAGGCCGACGGTAAGTGAGGTATTGAATGAAAATGACGGCGAACTAGTTCACATTGATCATTGTCGTTTGGTATGCTAGGCGGAACATTTCGAAGGTCAGTTCAACTGGCCACCAGCATAATCGATCCCATCTTCCGGAATGCACACTGCTCCCTGGAGCGTGGATTTTTCTCCACTGACTGAGGATAAGGTTTTAAACGGGCTTCGTCTACCACAGCACTGCAAGTCATCTGACCCAGATCAAGTTCCACCGACCCTCTGTCAAGATGGAGGTCATTTCCGAGAATTAACATCCGTCTTCCACCAGACAAGGACTACCGAAACTATCCCATCCGACTTGGGATTATGGATGTCGTACCCGTCCACAAAAAAGGAGAGCTAACTGTTTGCATCAAGTATCACGGGACCGGTCTCATTTGAGTTGCATCCAAACTCTTACGGATGCTCAGTTACCAATGGGAACAGTATCTGCGTTAAGGACAAGATGGGTTTCGCCCTGCTCGCAATTGCGTCTACCACATCTTTACCAAATACTTGAACACTGCCATACGTTCAGTCCGCCAAACAAAGTTGTATTCTTGGACATTGGAGCCGCGTTTGACTCCACTGGCGGTGGCACTTTGGGCTTGCTTACTGTAGAGGAAAGAAGCAGGGAAGTACATCAGCAACCTACGTGCCATTTATCGTCAAACGCCGGGCCGCGTGCGAGTGCACGGAGACTTATCGCCCCCTTCAGTATACCTAGTGGTGGTAGACAGAGTTGCCCAGCCTCTTCCTGTTCGTTCAACTTCGACGTAAACGAGATGCTGGAGATTGTCCTAGAAAACTCTGAGTCTTGCGGAGTCCTACTGTTCCCGAGAGACAGCCTTCAGGACTTGAAGTGCGTAGATGATATCGCTGTGGTTTGTGAGTTATCCCAGACCTCGTAGCATGTGCTGTTTGGGCTGGAGATGTCCCCCTCACGATTTGGATTAACCGCCCATACCAAATGTAAAGTCCTGTTACAGAACTGGCCAAATGCATCTCCTTCTCTCATCCTTACGAGGCATTCGCTAGAAGTGGTCGAAGGATTCAATTATCTTGGGAAGTGTCTTAGTATTGGCGGTTTGATGAGTGAGATTTCCTTGCGCATCTCCAAGGCGAGAGTAGATTTTGCTAACCTCCGTCGCCTGTAGCGTCGTAGTGACCTGTCTTACTCCGAAGCGCCGAGTCTATAAGGTTGTGATACGAGCGGTCCTGTGTATGGCTGCGAGACCTTGCTCGTTCGCAAGTTCTGTACATCGGTCAACAGTCATTGATCCCCAATGAAATCGGAGCATTGCTGGTGCTCGACGGTAGAATCGCACAAGTAGATAGGAGGTTCGCCGACGAGCTTTCAAATCTGACAAACTCAGCTGACCATTTGACAGCATTATTTCACTGCAGAGGCTTGGCTGGCTCGGGCACGCGTTTCGCGCGCTTACCCAGCAGTTACCACGACATGTCCTATCTGCAAACGCGAGCGTTGGTGGAAGACATAGCAAATACATGCGCTTACCTGGATGACATGTTGATCACTGGACGCACGCCACGTGCGCGCGTACGTGCGTGGGTGTACTTCGGCTGTTGGCTACCTACCATAACCATTGATTGGATGCAACATCCATGTGACTCACGCAACATTCGAATGCCTTGCCGTTCACGTGAATAACCCTTACTACACAGCTCTGTTTTCTGATTTCGTCTCGGCTTAATAACCTCCAACAGAAAGCTCCTAGAGGAGTGCAAGTTTCCTTTGTCAGAACTAATGCAAGTGGTTTATGCTACTTGTCACGATAAATAATTCCGCTAGCCGCTTTGGTAATTACAACATGACCAGACGTCCTTCAAAGAGGATAGTAAAACATTGCACCAACTCATTACGATGTGGTCCGACTAAGAATGTCCACAGCTCCACGCTGGGACACAGCACGTACTGGACATCAGATACAGATGAAAGATGCTATCAAATAGTGTGTCCTATCAAAACGAAGTCCAAAAGGACTCAGAAAGCGCCTATAGGTCAAGATAGAAGCAAGTGCAATCAGGCGCCTAGAGTTGGAAGTGTGTAAATAGCGCGTACATGTGCAAAATTAAACCCTACCGTGGCCACAGCCTGCTCAGCTTTCAGGTATATTGGTCAATGGCAGTAAGATTAAATTGACGTTGATTACCACCGCCCCCCTGGTCAAAGCATGCAAGTCAAATCGTTCCATCGCTAGAAAAAGCTTCTGTTGCAATGAGTAGGCATCACAAAATCGAAGTTTCCTGATAAGAATTATCGAAAAAATGGCTTCCTAGTTACCCTTTTAATGTGTTAAGCAATTAGTCTCTTATATGTGGGCAAATACGAGCAGTGTGAGCCGGCTGGATCATTGGGCCGAAACATGTGACGTTTAAGGAGTAACCAGAATGAAAAGCAGGGTGATGTTGCGGAGTAAAGAAAGCGATGGCAACGAGATGGCGGTACCTCTGACGATAACACATTTGTTACCGACGATTCAGTAGTGGATTTGAGCAACATGTGAAATTCCGGATCAAATCAAAAGCGAAAGCCGGAAATCCGCTACGGTGCTGTTGTTACAAAGGATTATGGCAACAAAGTTAAACTGCCCTCGAAAATATCCACTACAAAGTTTATAATCCAGTTCTCAAAATGCGACCGACCGCCAAACAAAACAGAATGGAAGCTACAGACAACATAATGCCTAATCGGAGGCCGCAATCTAAGAACGTGACACGGTTTCGAGACGCCTGTCATTATGACACGGGTTGCTACCCGGCCAGCTGTGACAATTTTCCATTTTTAAGGAAAAACGATAAATTGCATCAGCATCTTGAGCTGAGAGTGGCACCTTACAAATAAAAAAGCACCAGCAGTACGCGGTACCAACACATTACAGCCAAGCAAGCACCATCAGTCGCGCGTGGGATAAGGATACTGCGAGGGTCGCCCGGTTCCTTACACAGGCTGGAACCCGCAACCTCCGGGTTGCAAGACAAACGCTTTGTCCTTATGACCACGGGCCGGCGAACCTGACAGAGTGATTAACGGTATACGTCTAGGTCACTAAATATTAGCTCCGCGAGCAGCGCTTGTTACAGCGGTTGGAACTTCATTTTTGAGTCTTGAAGTACCCGCAGTGTGTCTAGATTGCGAGACGCAATCTCGATTTAGGCCACGGTTTGCTTTGAAGCAAACCTCAGCTATTTCGATCACCGGCACCGCAACCGAAATGGAGAGTTTCAGAGCAGCTCCATCCTAACACTGCACTCCCCGACCGACCAGTTTCGTCCTGATTTGGATTCGTCTGGTAGAGATAGCGTGAGCTGAGAGTGGGACCTGACACATAGTGGCTAACGGCTTATGCCTTGGTCACTTAGTCAGAGCTCCGCGAGCAGCGCTTGACGCAGCGGATTAGAAGTTGACATTATGTTGCGGGCCCGTCAAAAATCCCCGCAAAAAACGCGCCAGTAACTCCGGCATAATGGCTGTGGGAAGCGGAGTCCAATTTCTCCCCACAACGCAGCAGTGTTCAGCCACTCCGAAGCGCGTCCCAACTGCGAACCTTTTGACAATGGTCATTTGCAAACTACCACCTCTGCGTGGTGACTTTTTTCCCTAACTTAATAACCCATAGCACTGGCTGTGATCGCCCTTTGTCGGTCGTAAAAGAGCCTACAGAGGACCACCTGCCTTTTCTTTCTCTTCGCCTCAGTTGGGAGTCGGTCGGGTCACGTAATTGCGTGTGAGTCGTTAGCTGGCCAGCCTTCGCGTCTAAGTCATTAGCGCGCGTCTATCGTACCCCCTCTCGTGTGCGCCCGTTCCGAGGGGTCAGCGTCTATCCGAACACTTGCGGCTAGGATCGGTCACACGCTCGCTCAATTTTCCGTCTCACCGGCTAAGCTAGCGTCATCAGGTCAGCGCAACTCCGTTCGATTGGCCAGCGTTACAAGCAATTATCGTAGGCGTGCTCCAACCGGGCCAGCGACAATCTTATCAGGCGTTACGCAATCCATATCGAGAGGCGGCGTTCCCTCAAACTATAACAGTGGCGACACAATTATAACACATTACAATAACACATACTTATTATTTATATGATTTAAGTGCAATCCCTAAATGTTTCCAGCTGATTTCGCCTCTTAAGTTACCAGATGATAAGCGAAGGACTCGTGAACATTTTCTGGTCGGACAGTGAAGTTATTCGGTGAAATTCTGAAGAAAGTTTGCTTTTAACTGACAGAAAGAAAGAAAAGGCATCAGCAGTAACTCGGTACACAGTATGGACGTTCCGCTGCCGCGCAACCACCACCGGTTGTATGTGGGCTAAGGATACTGCGACAGTCGCCTTGCCCCTAGGCAAGCTCGAATCCGCGCCGCCAGATTACAAGACAAGCTCATTAACTTTAGGCTACGGGCTCCAATTGATTCGTTAGAAGGTGCAGTCCTCCTAAGACTATTCAACCTCTGATACGCTTAAGCAGGCCATGCTGTCTTTATATCCAGCAATTAGAAGCATATATGAGCTGGCAATATTGAGCAAAAGCCGGACAGGTTAGTGATATAAATTGTCTGGTAGTGTGGGCAGCACAACGAGAAAAATTCGTAGTTGTCCCGTAGCAAACCGTAAACAATGCTGTTTACGAAAATTTAACGAATTGGTGAGTGTCTTGTAATGGAGACGGAAGCGATGTCAAATCTATTTTGTCAGTTGAATGCGGCGTATGCGAATGTGTGCCACCATTGACCAAAGAATAAATGTCAACGTAGTCCGATAATTGTGTAAGTACCATGAATTCTAGTTTCGAAGTAGTACATGCCAACACTAAGGGTACTCGGTCAGTTTGTAAGTGTGCACCACTCTGTCTAAAGGCACGAGCTGTAAAGGCGGATAAGTATAACGAGTAGTGTCGCATGGCAAGGGGACTGTTGGGAGCAGAAGGCTATCGAGTGCCGTGGTGAAACGCATGCAGATGGCGAGATCGTAGTTGACGTCACTCAAGTAGAGTGTATTCAACTTAAAATATTTCATTCACCGGTTACTTATCCAGTGGGCAATCATGCAAGTGGAAAAGAACAAATGGGGTAAATCAATGGTATTAAAGTTAGCCATTACAATGAGCAGACAAACAACTGAAACTTACCTCAATCATATCAAAAAAGCGATCGACTTCCGCATTGAACGCAGTTACACGAATTTCCCCGCTTTCATCGACAACTGTGAAGCTAAATAGCTTTCCATCGCGTCCCTGCTTATTCCAAGTGCGGATGGAGGACTTCTGTGACACACGCGCACGAATCGTCCATCGATTTTGGTAAGGGTTCAAACTCTGAATAGGGAACACCTTTGGCAAACCTGAGTTAGTTGCACCTGGAGTGGAAGGGGTGGAAACACCACCACCATGGCCAAGAAAGGAGCTTGAGGACAATTTGGGAGGCGTCTTCATCCCACTCAGGTCCGTTTTTAAAACATTGGAACCCAGTGGTGGTCCTAATCCTGGAGGCGCACAGGGTACAGATGTGTTGTCTGGGACCGACCGGAATGGGGGTCGAACGGAGACTGGAAAGTATAGAATGTGAACAAAAAACACACAAGAGTAAATAAAAAATAAAGTAAGTGGTTCGGCCTTTGAGGAGGGACATATAAAAGGTGAAATTCGAAAAAGACTGCGAGAGGTAAGTATTTGACAGACCAAATATACAAGGTAACTAGGCTACTATTAGTGAGTAGTCCGCTTATTTCTACTTCTTGGGCCGTTACGTCGGAGTCTGATCATGTCTAAGCAAGACCTAATACCTCTGGTCGCTGAGAGGTTACGAAGTAACATAGCTGGTCGCGTTTCATCAGCAGACTGCGGCAAGAAACGCTGAACGCGCCTGAAGCATCATCAAGCTGTTGACCCGGATTTGCAGGGAAATCCGGGTAACACAAAAAAATTAAATATGTGGAGATTTGTTTCTCAATCTTCCGTGCGCCACTTTAATTCAGTCATCGCAGGCTTGAGTTTCCCTCTGTCTGTTGAACCCAAGTCAGCACCCACGTGGATCTTCTCAACCATTAATCATTCAATCATCCAAGGTGGGATAATAGTAACATGGTTGGAAACTACAACAAACGTTACCCTCATTGGACGACATTTGCCCTCCGTTCTCTTTCCGAAATGGGCGATTTGTTTACCATTCAGGCTGTCCTCAGAATCTGTAAAAACCCGATGTCGTGTTCATAGTGTAACAGAGGATTGGAATCAGAGGATTCAGATGCGTGAAAGGCTATGAGGCTGCGGTGCCTCAGGTCTCTGGACGGCATTTTCGGCTTCGTTGCTCTTTGCGCTGTCCAGTGGTCATCACCGTTAAGCCAATTACATAGGGGAAGTTTAATGTCAATCGAAGAAAATGCAGGCAGTGAAGTCGAGCTTACCGGAGTGCCAGAAGTGTGCTTCGCGATAAAGTAGCTGGCATACTAGGTGGCTGTTCCTCCGCTTATGGAGCAGAACATATGGAGCCGCGCGTTTCAGAGCATTTCACTCTACTGACCCCGTTACTGGGCTTTTCGGCTCCCTTTGGCGTAAGTTTAGACTGCTATTGTTTAAAATGCTTTTAAAAAGTCGTATCGAAAATCTCGAACAATGCGAAATTGGTATACAGATAGATGCATGAAATATGAAACTTAAGCTGCACAAATTGTGTGTAACCGCTTTTGAGCAATGACTAAAGATTTTAGAACGACTAACACAAGGAGTCTGCTAGTCATTTCAAAAACAGGTAACTGATACAACTGAATCAGGGTAACATTGAATCGCAAGAACCAGAACAAACTAGCACACGTAGTTAGAAGGAAGTAAATCAGAATCACAAAGGATAATGAAGTACACAAAAAGACGGAGATAAAGATGACTTTAAATGTAAACAATGACGATGACACGAACAAAATGCGACCCAGCCCTGCTCTGATGAGCCATTAAGTGTGCTCTACAGTCGTGCTTGGGTCATTACTATTGGCTGCGCAAATATTGTTCCCTCGTGATTCGGAATCTCGCACTTGGATTGGCACAGTGGACGTAGGTGAGCAGTTCGGTCCCACATAGACTGCTCGGCTCACCGTCTGGATGAAATATTAAGTTCATACGAACAGCGGTTTTTAATCCTCCCGAAATCACTGTTTCAGTGGTTGGTATACTGGATCGAGGTCGATATGCATACTGATTGAATTAGTGGTCCAAAACCAGGTTTCGATGGATTACTTCCCTTTTCGCGATTCTCCTTGGGTTAGAATCGCTAGTTTGTTTCAGTCGAAGCTGCGCTCCTCTTCATCTATGTGTGCTGAAATTAGTGAGGATGAATAATGTTATTCACACGTGCTTTTTGTCCTCGTATCCTTGTTGATAACTTACTCTCTGTCTGTCACACATAGTGCTTTTCGCGATTTATATTGTATAAGATATGCCACCGTCCTTCGCCTCTCGTTTCCCATTTGATCTTGACAATGTTTGTCTCAGAGTGGCGGTTCGCTTGTCGGACATCACGATGTGATGCTGTTTGAACAGCCTGGCAATCCTGCTACGAAAACGTTATCACTCTTGCACTTATGTCACCTCAAATGGTGATTAAACGACTGCAATAAAGTTGTCCAGCTTAGTGAATACCATCACAACTGAGAGTGCGACGGTTTGTGCACCGCGCCGAACCACTGAGCAATACTTAGTGGTGCCACCGGGCCACTTGAGAGCTACTCCTACCGGATTGGTCAATGATAATAGGTCAGACAAACGCAGTCTCCTGATCCTTCAGGTTTGGCGTCTGAAATAGGATGGCGTTCATTTCTTTAAAAGTGAATCACTGCTATCTACCCACAGGGCAAGAACTATGGTTCGGAAGACGATCATCCGTATGCTGCTGTTTGCCGACGACTGTGCGTTGTTAGCACATTGCGCGGATGAGTTTCAGCCCATGACTTCGGTTCTCGCTTCACAGCGGCAAAATCAGGGCTCATAATCAACGCAAGCAAGACAGTCTGTCTTCCCTAACAGTTACCAGAAATGGAGTCTGTGGACTTGCTCTAAATACAGGTCGTAGATAACGTGTTGGAGACAACATCAAAATCTTGCTTTCTTGGAAGCGTAATATCACCCGACCTGCAGATGAGGAGCGAGCTGCGCATCCGGGTATTTAAGACAGCTGCTGCGTTTGGCAAACTGATACAACCACCAGCTTACCGTTGGAACGAAGTTGATGGTATACAAGTCTATGGTGCTGTCCTTGTATCTACTCGACAGCGAAACGTGGACAATGTACAGGAAGGACGTCAGATAACTGAAGCGGGTTCATCAACAGTGTCTGCGACGAATTCAACGCATCGGCTGGGGTGACCGAGTGGCAGACACAGAAGTGCTACGCTGTAATGGCATGTATACAGTGGAATGCATACTTCTTATGAGGCACCTGAAGTGGCTGGGACATATCAGCCGCATGGATTCGACGCGGATACCCAAGCAGCTATTACATGGACAACAGTGCAAGGAAGCGACAAGCGTGAAAACTGAAGTTGCGTTATCAGTACATGATCAAAGTGTTTATCACAAACTAATGTTGATTTTAGGCATTGGGAATCAAAGACAGTGAATCGTCGCAAATGGCGGAAGCATATCAAGAGAGCGATTGCCAAGGCGGAAAAGAAACGCCGGGTACGGAAGCGACAGTCGCAGATGGAGTCTAGCCTGTTGACGTCGAGTGCATGGCGCTGTAGCATATACGGTCGCGAGTACCTCAGCCAAGCGAACTTGATAAACCACCAGCGCTGCCACGCTGATGACCTAAACGGCATCAGCACAGCGTACGAAAGTAAGCTTCCATTCGATTTACTAACCTAGGCAAATAAGGCGGTTGAGGTGGCACGTGCTATATCATCGGTACAGTTGGTCCGTACGTGTGTGTACCTGCGTGTTGAGTTTCTTGCATTTCAAATGCTGCCTGTTGTTTGATATCTCCGGTGTGGGTGTACTTGTTGTGAATGTTGACAAGGTGCCTACTTGTCTATTACCGTCCAGCACGTCTATACTGGCTGCAGGAGACTGTGAAACGTTGCTGGGGGTGGGGTACATCGTTCTCTCTAAAGTGCTAGGCTCAAAGAGTGGTTTCATGCATCAGTGTGGAACGGGTTACGGCCTAACCACAGCCTGCTGTACGTCTGGTACGCATGATTCTCCAATTAAACTGACTGGAATGCTGCTCTTGTGCATGATGAGGGAGTGTGGGCCCGCACCGTTGATTAAACGTGGCTCGCATCCACATGTCCGGTTTTATTCATTCGGGTTTACAGTGGATATGGAGTGTGGATGGAATTGGAGGTGGTGCAGCGCAAGCCACCCATAGTCTCGCTGTAGGCGCAGGTGTCAAAGTAGCAGGCAAATCCGGAATCCGATGCTGCCAAGCACACACACACACACACACACACACACACACACACATATATATATATATATATATATATATATATATATATACGAAGAATAAACATGGATCCGGCACCTCGTTCTCACAGGCCACAGTGAGGACTGTTTCTGGTCCCCTCAACACTGGGCGCCTTTGATTTGTCGATCTTTGTCTGCGGATTAACACTAGCGTCGGAGAGTAGCAGCGTGTCCGTAATGGCAATAAGAACAGGGGAGTACGAGACAGCGTCAGCGGGATTAGCATTTAAGGGTAGCAAATGACCTTATGCAGGTTGTGTTGGCTTGGGTACGTGCTGTAAATATCCACTCAGTGAATACCAAAGGTGTTGTTTACTGTACTGAGCACAGAATGGTGCAAGATTGCATGGAGACAAAAGCTGACTTGTTGGCGGAAATAGAGGACACTGAAGACTAAGCTGGGTGCAGTTAATCCGCCTCGTCTCCCAGGCTGGAGTCCGCGCAACCTATCTCGTGCTTGGTTTGAGAAAGTACAGGACATGGTTCAGCTGGGCACTATTTGTGAGCCTGCGGTCGTCGCCTAGTCAGATTGCCTGATTCTGAGTTTTCGGTGGTGTAAGCCCGGTCATGATGTAGGGTAGTGAAAGCCGCGAAGAAGCTACCCAACACAACAGACAGCTGCTTATGACCGTGTGTTACTGATAAGAAGGCGCCCTGATCCTGAAGGCTAGTATAGAGTAGTAGGTTTTACGCTAGATCCCTTTCGCCTCCTCTTATTAGTATTTATTACCTAGGCCATCATGGTTGTATGGTGGGGAAGAGCCAGTCCAAGATACCAATGTGCTGCTGCCTTTTTGTGGATGGTAATGTGAACAAGCGTTTCGGCTTAAAACAACAATAAAGAAGTTGAGGAACAATTATCAGATATCGGTCATTTCTGCGAAGCAGACTTGGAATGGTTTGTGGTTTACGTTAGACTCAATCGTGTCCTGTACTCTAAAATTCTTATCATCGTCAGACTTCGCCATGAGGGAAATTTCATCTTATCAAGAAACATACATTAGCACTATACAGTAAAAATAACATACCTGACTCATGCTCGACACCAAGTACCTCCACATCCAGTACTACTAAGACATACCTGTCACCAAAGATCATATGACATAAACGATGGGACCAACTTGTTATTCTGTATGTTGTTACACACATATTTCTTTATTCGTACGACAGTGTCGTTGACCAATTTACCACTTTCGATCAAGTGGTTTAGCTGCGTGGCCAGCATGGCAACTGAATCATAAAGGAAAGTTAGAGACAGGTAGGACTATGACTCACAGGAATGCGTCTTAACGCCATCTGAGAGCAAGAGACGGTAGCGATTCTGACCAGCATTTCCTCCAGGAACCAATTTATAACCCTGGTACAGAAAATGAAAATAAAGAACCACCTAAAACTCACCAAAATTTTTAGAACAGGTTCATCGATAGTCTTGCCTGAGTTAATCAGCTGTAAATGGAACTAAATAAACCACGAGAGACAAGCACATACGTCGATTGCGCCGGAAGTAAGAGCCTGCATAAGTAAGTACCGTCAGCGAATGAATTCTGGAAGCGAACAGGGAATGAAACCAATAAAGTGAGCAAATTGGGAAACAGAAAAAGTGTCAACCACATAGGGTAAAGTCGCAGGTGCGAAGCAAGATCTCCAAAAGTGTAGCAAAGGTGACGAAAACATATGGCAAAAATTAAGCCTAGTGGCTTGACAACGGTGCACTCTTTTCACCAGAAGAAATGACATCAGTAGTGCGTAGGTGGTGCTACTCATGAGAGCCAGCCATTTGATACAATTCGGGTGTTGGTAAGCACAAGCCATTCTGATTGGCTGCCAATGAGTTCCTACGTGGAACTGAGTGGTTACAGTTGGTCACAGAATTATTGTTGCGACATGGGAGGGGTGGTAGCAAGCACGTCGGTGGTATGGACTTATAATCGGTGGGACGGATTAAGCCTGACTACTGGCCTGTTTGGTTGTACACAAAAATTGCTAAACCGCATGATTTCTTTCTGTTAGTTTTGCATATCCGATAGATACTGAGGCGCATAATTATGGAATTCTTCATAGAGCACTATGGTAGTGGAAGTTTGTACAAAAGAAGTAATGTAAATCGCAGTCAATTGTAATAATACAGTGAACCTGGTACTAGGATAATTCGAAGCCTTCGAAGTGTCTGTAAGCCTCGATACGAAACGTAGTCCGAATATAGCAAGAATTCCGATCGATAGATACCGAACAACAGTGCCGAACAATCATGACGAGAGTACGCCGAATGAAGCAAAGCAAGAACGCGGTACGAAATTCCAGGTGTGTATAGGTTCATGTAATTAAAACGAATTGTATAGTGAAAGTTGAAGCAACAAAAGTACAATTGAAAATATGGTGGTTTACAAGCACTACACTATACTTGGAGAAACTCTATTTGTGTCCCTCCGTGTGTCCCAATTTCTGTTTTATTCCAATAAAAGCTAAGTCCTTCATCCGTGCGCACAGGCGCCAAGGATTGGGTGTAATGCTTCTAACAGGATCTTTGATGCCCCTGTATTCTTGTTGACTAGTTGCTTCCTGCATGGCCCACATAGTTCTCGTTGCAATTTTTGGCATTGTATCTTGTACACGATGTTGCATTGTTAGTAAGATGTCGGTTTTGACAGCCTGTGGAAATCTTCTGAACCGCGAAATCAAAGGGATGTCGTTGTTAACTTGTCCACAGTTGTACTGTGTTTCAAATTGATGCTCCTCCGAGCCTCTGTAATGGTAGTCTGAGTGTGACGTCCGAGTCTCAGCCTAAAAGCCACAGTACTCTGGTTTGGATCCCCACACCCTTGGAAGGTTGCGTGCAGCACACAAACAACAGGCATTCAAGCTGAACCTCACTAAACCGCTTCAATTTGAACAAGTGGCACCCGCTTTAGTGCTGCTGCATGAACAATGAGACTTACCGTACTTTTGCACAGGTTCGGGTAAATGTATAAATTATTAAAAGTAATGCCTGATCGCCGAACATCTAGGTGAGTGGAAAAGCCGCTTCATCAAAGCAAAAATCTTCAGCACTCTTTGGTAAAACGAAACTGAAGTATCTGTTGTGTGCAATATTTCCGAAATGCCGCTGTATCATCAAGAGGGGATAGCTCCGTCCTGAATTATGTGACGAAAATTATGATAAAAAAGGAATGGATAGAAAGTGTTGATTAGTGCATCAACTGAAGGCTTCTCGGTATCTCGGGTGATTGTAGACTGCTGCAAGTGTTCGAGTGGGTCTCAAGCATTGACAACTGTGCGGCTTCGAATTGTTGTTTTAGCAAAATGGATTTCAGGTCTTCTGCTAAAATGGAGGTCTTGATTCAGTTCGCCGGAAATCTGTTGTCTTCGCTGACGGCAATGATAACCAAAACAGTTACTCGGATTATTGATCAAGCACTTCCCAAGGAAGATGACAAAGGCCTGAAAAAAGCCTTCATATAAGTCAGTAAGTACAACGATTTGAGAGTCGAAATAGCTTTGATGATACAATTCAATAGAAATGACCAAGAATAAGGCTCCATTCTACAATAAACTACCAGGAGGCGGCATTCTCGTTGATTGACGCCAAGCCGTAAGTGCAATCATTAGCTGGTCACAACAGAAAAATGCTCTTTTCGGTTGGCTCCTTGCCAATGAATTTCAAGTCAAGTCAAAAATGTGCTTATACACACATGACGGAAGAAATTTGAAGCGAGATGGGTCACTTTGAGCTTATGCTGAGGCTACCGGCGTCGAACCAGGCTTCGATGAGGATCCTCACTTAACGCGGCGTAATTATGTTGTTTTCGTCTAATTTGCCCATGTAGAAAATAACGCGGCAATTATGGCACGTATACTACATCGTCACTGCATTTGGTCTGTACATGCACCTGTGGATTTATGCTGTAGGCGTGAAGGCCCTTGCCGGTTGTTGTCCGGGGCCTAACAGCGCTTTGTGTGAATGTTGACCATCCAGATTACTGGCTCATGCAGACTATTAATCGTTGCTGGGAGAGATAGGGCGAACAGTCTAAGTGATATTGTTAAGCTTACACAGTGGTTCCATGGATCCAGCGTGGAACGAACTGCGGCCGTTTCTGCCCTATGCACTGTTGGCATGCCCATTTTTCCAAGTTCACAAGAATGATGTGCATATTGGCGTGTGGACCGGCTCCGAATCACCTGTGGTTCCCATCCACTTACCCAGTCGTATTCTTTCGGGTGTAGTTTGGATATGGAATGTGTGGATGGAGCTGTGAATGATGCAGCGCAATGTTCCTTTGTAGACACAAGTATCCTGCAGCTGTTCTATGGAAGCCGCACGGACAGGGAAATCCGGAAATGGATGCCGCTAAGCATTTGTATCTACAGGGTGACCACGAAGTGCCTGGTCATTGTTCTTAACTGATGTATTTTGCAATACCATTTATTATTTAAAATTTGCATATTTAGCATAATATTTATAGCATAAATGTACGATACTTCTGCCTTACTATTTTCAGGCATACATTCGAAAAATGACTGACACTTGTCCCTTCACCAATGAAGAAAGACTCAGCTGCTTTTTGGGTACATGATCGAGTGCTAGAAAAATGAACAATGACGGACGTTTCCACCAAATTCCAGGAGCGTTTCAAGAAGTTTGCACCAAAAAACGACCCATTATTAACATGGGAGAAGAAAACATTTGCATCTGGATCTGTGCTGAATGCCCCTTGCTCAGGACGCCCTGTCTCCCGAATGGAGCACGCGGAAATCATTCAGTAGGGTTTTCAATTCTCCAAAGAAATCGACTCGTAAGAGGTCTGCTGAATTGCATATTCCCCGCTCCACACTCCAAAAGGTAGTCAAAACTAACATAGGCATGTCAGCATTCAGGCCAATGCAAGTCAGTGAACTGTCTGATATTGATCGACAGAATCGAATGGAAGCGTGTCAACACCTTCTCCAGGAAGTCCCCACAAGAATCAGCCGTCACAATGTCTTCCTAAGGAATGAATGTGCTGTCTATCCCAGCTCGCGATCAAGAAATGTTTACTTTTGGAGCAAGATTAACACATACTATGCTAAAGAAATCGCCCACAAACCACCGCACGTCATGATGTGGGCGGCAATGTCAGCCACCAAAATCATTGGGCCATTTTTTTCGAAAATTCTGAATCAGTTCACCTACCGAGAAATGTTGGAGACGTGGTTCATTCCACAAATGGTTTTCAATGGAATCATGCGTGTAGCCATTCTGCAGCAAGCTGGTGCTCCTGCACATTTTGCTATTTCAGTGCGCCGGTTCCTGGATGAGAATTTCCCTGGCCGCTGGATTGGACGTGGATCACAGCATGAATGGTCAGCTCGCAGTCCTGGCCTCTCATCATGCGACAATGGCTTGTGAGGCATGATGAAAGAATACATGAGAAAAACACGTCACAACAATACATAAAAACTTAAAGCTGCAATCTTTGCTTCATTGAACTCAACTTCACCTGATGTTCTGCAACGCATCTCAGCACGCATTTGGAGACGCATTCGTCTATGTGCTGAGAATGACGATGAACACACAGACACATTGGATTCATGACAGTGTGATAATAGGCTAGCATGTTTGTTTCAATAAATTCCATTGATCAGCGGCAAGTATCATGTACGTTTTTTACATTTGTACACTGATTTACGTAGGTATATGCATAAAAGTGGTGTCCGGGAACTTTGTGACCACGCCGTACATAAATAAAAGGGAAATGTGTTTGCTCATAACCGGTTAGCCGTGATAGTTTTTCATCAATTGCTTTGAAAGTTTCACACAACGTTGCATTCGAATACGAGCATGTCGATAATCATATACAACTGTGTAGATGTCAGTTTTAAGGTCTCAATTCAGTTTAATTAAATTGTTATAGGTTTCGATTCACTTTCATTATGCGCTACTTGTGAATAGATGGATATTTTACGTTTTCTACTTGAATCACGACAGATTCCAAGCCACAAATGTCAACCATTTCGTGTGACATTCTGGTTGAATTTTCTTGTCGTTCTTTTTTCAGCTCCGCGTAGGGGTACGCGTCCAGGCGACATGCTCAGCCCGCACGCAAAAGGTGCTGTTCACACGGCAACGAAGCGCCGTTACAACGTACAGCTCATATATTATTATTATTTCTTGTTTTCAGTGCCGACCGGTGGCCGAAAGAATAATGCGTCTGCCTTGAAATCCACCGGTTGCCGATTTGAGCCTGCATAGCGACGGGCAACCTGGCATCAAAGTGCCAGTACTACGTATTGGCGTATTGCTAATGCCTTATTCTTCAGTGCACCAGGCGGTAGAATGTGGAGTTGTCAAATAATGCAAACTGTCAACAACCCTGTCAAGATACTCTTCTTCTTAGATGGTAAAATGTTCCTGCTAAGATTGATTCTTGCAACAATTCGATCCCAAAATGATAAATTAAGCTCGCGCATTGTCTGGAATAGCTGCGAAATTGTTACCAGGTGGAAAAACAGCTCATTCCGCTTTGAAATTGCTACTAAACATGCAATTCACTGAAACTCCCACA